AGTGAGAACATGAGGGTAGATCAGTGAGAACATGAGGGAAGATCAGTGAGAACATGAGGGTAGATGAGTGAGAACATGAGGGTAGATTAGTGAGAACATGAGGGTAGATGAGTGAGAACATGAGGGTAGATCAGTGAAAACATGAGGGTAGATGAGTGAGAACATGAGGGAAGAACAGTGAGAACATGAGGGAAGATCAGTGAGAACATGAGGGAAGATCAGTGAGAACATGAGGGAAGATCAGTGAGAACATGAAGGGAAGATCAGTGAGAACATGAAGGGAAGATCAGTGAGAACATGAAGGGAAGATCAGTGAGAACATGAGGGAAGATCAGTGAGGACATGAGGGAAGATCTGTTAGAACATGAGGGAAGATCAGTGAGGACATGAGGGAAGATCAGTTAGAACATGAGGGAAGAACAGTGAGAACATGAGGGAAGATCAGTGAGAACATGAAGGGAGATCAGTGAGAACATGAAGGGAAGATCAGTTAGAACATGAAGGGACAGCACCGAGCCCAATTTAAGTCAAATTTAACACAAGCTAGAATCTGGATGCAACATATGAAGACCTCCACGATGAGAAGTCCTATCTTCTATGCAAAAAGTGTTTTATCCAATTTGAATGCATACGAGCTTCATCAATAGTATGAGGGATTATGGCATTTGAAATAATAGGATTTTAAAATTTCCGGAATTATCGAGACCGGGCAACACCATGCTAACTTGCTGGTATGAAATGCTATTTGAATGTTTGATATCATTAAACTAAAGCTAAAACATATTGAAAGCTGATTCGCAATTCCAATAATTTGGAAATTTTAAAAATAAAACAATTTTAAAATCTACAACAAACTTTAAAATTAAAAAAAAATCCAAAATAAAAATAAAAACCAATTTCAAGATTTAAACAAATTTAAAATTTTAAACAAATTTCGAAATTTAAACAAATTGCAAAATTTAAACAAATTTAAAAATTTAACAAACTTCGAAATTTAAACAATTTCAAAATTTAAAATTCCAGACAAGTTTGACATTTCCGATTTTCAATGATAGCAAAAACTAAAAGTAGGACCAACCTTCGGCACGACGACCAGCGTCCGGGCGGTGAGCAGCGGCCCGAAGATCTCGCTGAGGGAGTCGACGAACGTGAGGGCTGTCTTAAAGCAACAAATCTGTCGCGGAAGTTTTATTATTTACCACCAAATCGATAAAAAAATTGATTTGATATTGAAATTCCTGCAAATTAAAATATATTTGAAACACAGAATTACACAGAAGTGCACAGAATTCAACTCGACACATGTGAATAAATATATAGGTTTATCCATATGTAATGCATGAATCAACTTTATGAACCCCCAAAATTATGGGCATACAGACATAGAGACAACAATATATACATGCATTCCGTATATCCAGATGTCTTACACATCCATATATATCATATATCAATATATACGTGTTACATATGTCACCTCATCCTGATGGTAAGGAAATGTAAGCCACTGCCACTGGAGCCTGTTGAGCAGCGCCCTGTGAGGGAGCCTGACGCCCTTGGGTATTCCTGTGGAGCCTGAGGTGTAGAGAACCACAGCCACGTTCTCGCCGTGACAGCGTCTCAAGGGAAGATCAGTGAGAACATGAGGGTAGATGAGTGAGAACATGAGGGAAGAACAGTGAGAACATGAGGGTAGATGAGTGAGAACATGAGGGAAGAACAGTGAGAACATGAGGGAAGAACAGTGAGAACATGAGGGAAGAACAGTGAGAACATGAGGGAAGAACAGTGAGAACACGAGGGAAGTACAGCACCGAGTTGCGTTCCAGCCTAGCAGTGCCAAGTTGATTTACGTAGGCAATAAATTAACTAATTTTAACACAAGCTAGAATCTGGATGCAACATAACGAAGGCCTCTACGATGAAAAGTCATATATTCTGTGCAAAAAATGTTCTTCTTAAGAAATTTTTATAAAATTTGAATGCATACGAGCTTTATTAATAGTGTGAGGGAATACGGAATTCGAAATGATTTCAAAATTTCAGGAATTATCGATACCGGCCAACGCCATGCTAGCTTCCTGGTATAAAATGCTAGTTGAATGTTGGATTTCTTAACCAAAGCAAAAACATATTGAAGGCTTATTCGCAATTCCAATGATATCGAAATTTAAAAAAATAAATAAAACAACTTTTAAGACGTACAACAAACTTCAAAATTTAAACAAAATTAGAAATGTAAATAAAATTTAAAATATAAACAAAATTCAAAATTTCAATAAAATTAACAATGTAAATTTAAAATTTAAACAAATTTCAAAATTGAAGCAAATTTCAAAATCGAAGCAATTTTCAAAATTTAAACAACTTTCAAAATTTGAACAAATTTCAAAATTTAAACTAATTTCAAAAAATGTAAGCAAATTTAAAAATTTAAACAAATTTCGAAACTTAAAATTTCAGACAAATGTGACATTTCCGCCTTTTCAATGATAGCAAAAACTAAAAGCTGGACCAACCTTCGGCACGACGACCAGCGTCCGGGCGGTGAGCAACGGCCCGAAGATCTCGCTGAGGGAGTCGACGAACGTGAGGGCTGTCTTGAAGCAGCAAATCTGCCTCAAAAGTTTCATCATTTACCACCAAATCGATAGAAAAAATTTGATTCAATACTGAAAGTGCACCAAATTAAAATATAATTTAAACACAGAATTAAACTCAACACACGAGAATAAATATATATATATATAGGTTTATTTATTTTTAATTCATGAATTGTCTTTATGAACGTCCAAAATTATGCGTATAGAGACATAGAGACAATGACATATACATGTATATCATATATCCTTGTATTCACATCCAAATACATATATATATGGTATATCATATCATATATGGCATTGTTACATATGTCACCTCATCCTCATGGTAAGGGAATGTGAGCCACTGCCACTGGAGCCTGTTGAGCAGCGCCCTGTGAGGGAGCCTGACGCCCTTGGGTATTCCTGTGGAGCCTGAGGTGTAGAGAACCACAGCCACGTTCTCGCCGTGACAGCGTCTCAAAACTGGACAACTGTCTGCTACAGACGGGTTGTCTTCTGTCTGCAATGGGAGACAGTAAGCAGACAGGGGCAGGGAGAGGGAGACAGAAAGAAGACAGGGGCAGGGAGAGGGAGACAGAAAGAANTCTCTAGTCTTAGCTCCTGTCTCTTATACACATCTAGATGTGTATAAGAGACAGGCATTGATGGGCCAAGAGAGCACTGATGGCCAAGAGGGCATTGATGAGTCAAGAGGGCATTGATGGCCAAGAGGGCATTGATGGCCAAGAGGGCATTGATGAATCAAGAGGGCATTGATGGGCCAAGAGAGTCTTGATGGGAAAATAAGGTCTTGATGGGCCACGTATATATGTATTGAGTTACGGTTTAGCAAGAATCGGGGAACGTAAAACAGTGACTAGATTATAATTGACCTCAACGACGTTGTCCATTTTGCCCATAGAAAATCAAGCCACTACAGCAAAAAGATGAGTGAGAAGAGCTCTTAACAATTGCCCCAGAAGGCTAGACTCTACGACGAACCCCTTATTGTTATCAACTTTCCTTAAATTACTCAGCAGCTTTCTGCGTCCTGCCAATCAGTCCATATAATTTCATTATTATTTTGATACGCTTTAGACAATTGAGAGTTCAATTAAACTAAAAAACTTTATCAAATTTTTTCAGTAACCTAGCTATTATGCGTCTAGCACCTATTTTGTTACCTCCTGTCTGTTGAATATTATTCGATGATAGACAGATGGTTCAATGGATTATTCAATGATAGACAGATGGTTCAATGGATTATTCAATGATAGACAAATGGTTCAATGGATTATTCAATGATAGACAGATTATTCAATGGATTATTCAATGATAGTCAGATGGTTCAATGGATTATTCAATGATAGTCAGATGATTCAATGAATTATTCAATGATAGTCAGAAGTATAACAGGACTACTTCAGTAATCACCGATACTTAAACAAAGAAGTTCGTATCTTCATCGCAAAAAATTGTCAGGCGAGTGAAATTGATTGCGTGTAATTACTATAATATCATTAATATCATGAGTTTTTTGAATGATATAACTTTGTACTTTGCTGTTAGAATAGAATAGCATACAATAGAATTGTCGGCACTGAAGAAATAGGCCCATGGCCTGTTGCCGATTCTTGAACTTTTCGTGACTTGATCACAAGGGATCCGGCCTTTGGAACCCGATCTTTCCATAACTGACGATTGATTGAGATAGCTGGTGGACTTATTGCCTGGTCCGTAATTTGCTAGGCATTTTAAGACTGAACATATGCTCCTGCATGGCTTCGTCTAGTCTGTTCTTGAAGGCATTCATACTCGGAGCGTCAACGATGCTATCAGGGAGGCTGTTCCACATGTAGGTGACTCGAAGCGAGAAGAAATGTAGTCGCATGTATGTGTTACAATGCAGTTTTTAGCGCATTTTCTCATTTATGGAAAAAAATGCACTATTGTGCTCGCCATGTCCGTCCGTCCGTCTGTCTGTCTGTCTGTCTGTCCGTCCGTGATTTCACGTTTTCGTCGACGAGAAAATGCGCTCTCTATCACTCACTGCAGTGAGTAATGAGTAATATTTTTTTAGTTTATAGCCGTGGCCCCTGGTGTTGGTTCTTGTTTCAAGTTCTATGACTTTTTTCTGGGACCTTGTATAAACCGTGGGTATACTTGTATATACTTTAATGAGGTCCCCACGCAGACGTCGATAACTGAGGCTTGGAAGCTGTTACGTAGGAAATTTTTTTTATTTCACTTTTGAAGAAATTTTATTTATCAAAACTTCAGCTGGCGAATGCTGACCCTCACCTGCTGATGGCGCTGACGAGCTCTGCCAGCTGCTGGTACGTGAGGCTGACGTCAGTGGAGGCGTCGATGAGAGCCACAGTCTGCGGGTGGCTGAGGACGGCCCACTGGAAGCCCTCCACCACCGACCCCACCAGGGGGGGAGGAGGGTGGATGGGGCCACGTAGTGTGGGGGATACCATTGTATTGGGGGGGGGGGCTAGGACCGAGTGCAACTGTTTTTTAATATATATAATTTCTTAATGCTTTAATCTGTAAGTAGGTAAATAATATATCGTTTTTATAATAAATATATCGTTTATATTACAACACTTCTCTTTAACTTCACTTCTTGTTTGTCTGTTTGTCCGTCTGCTACAAATCTTATAATAATCGAAATTTAACACACTTTTACTTATCCTATCGATCTGAAATTTTGCACACTTGCGTAAGGTTGGAGTCAATGCATGAATCAAATGACAAAAAAAAATTATTTTAAAAATTAAAAAAATTTTTTTCAATATTAAAAAAATAGAAAAAAATAATTTTGTCAGCTACAAATCTTGTAACTGATGTTTGACACACTTTTACCTGTCCAATTGATCTGAAATTTGGCACACTTGTGTGAAGTCGGAAGCAATGCTTGAGTCAATTGACAGAATAAATAATTTTGAGAAAAAAATTGGTATATATAAAAAAATTGGAAAATTAATTTTTTATTATTCGAAAATAAAATGAGAAATTCATTGTACATCTTTAACATTGGAAACACTGGAATCCTTAGAAGTGCTATCTTTAAAAAGTAATTGTTAACGTATATTATTTTATAATATATATATAACTTTGAAAAGCTATAGCATTAAAAACTCATATATCTATATAACTATCTATAAGTTATATATATAATTTTATATATAGATCGTATACGATTTGTAGGCGGGTAAAGAATTCTATCCCGGGATCTTGGTTCTCAACAATCTGCAAGAAGAGACAAATAAGTTGCTAAGTACAATTCAAACTGCAACATATTAGTTGCTGTACAGTTTGTATCGGTATCTTGAAAAGACAAAAGTATTATTTTGCCCGGAACATTAAAAAAAATCTCTGGCACAGGAGAAAATGACCAATTATTTCATTTACTTTATTCTTCCTGGAATATCATACTAAATGGGCCGAATGGCCCACTGGTTGTTACTCCGATTTTATTTCATAATCAGAACAAATGGCAGTAGGTAAAATCAAACTATGAGGAGCTGTTTAAACTCATATACGCTGGTTTTGAAATTTAAATGCAGTAAAGACTGAATACAAAATATACAGCACCTGGGATAAGCGCGACGGGTTTCGATCTTACGTAATTTATGAGGTTTGAATACCACTAACCTGTATATAGTGTTTACCTTACGTCCAGACATGAGGCAATATAAAAATAGTTCAGTACTCACTACAGTGAGTGACAGAGAGCGCATTTTCTCGTCCGTCCGTGACTTCACGTCACGGACGGTGCACGAACGGACGGACATGACGAGCACAATAGCGCCTTTTTTCCATAAATGAGAAAATGCGCTAAAAAGTTTACATTTCACTAGCCTGAATAATGTTTATCGCGCATTCACACATGACGATTTCGAGTGTAAATATTCAGCAGTAACTTAAATTATTTTAACCCGTTTCAAAGCCCTGCCGGAACTCAACCGCTGTCCGGGCCACACAAGCCTTGAGCCGGGGCTTGGGTTGAGCTAAACCCGAGCCATGGGGTTGACCCGACCTTTCCCCGGGAAACCTGAGCCCGGGGCTTACCAAAATTCGTGTGTTGTGTGCTTTTCACTTTAATCATAAATCTGCTCGACACACGTTTTTTGGGGCAAGCCATAATTTATTTTCTACTTTTTAGTACACAAGAAAAACGTGTTTTTTTTAAAGTTTTTTTTTTAATTATTTTATTTTTATTGTTTTTCATTGGAATGTACCGTAGTAGGTAAAATCAAACTATGAGGAGCGCGTTAAACTCATACGCTGGTGTCGGAATTTAAAAGCAGTTAAGACTGAAAACAAAATACAGCACATAGGATATGCGCGACGGGTCTCGATTTTATGTAACTGGTGAGATTTGAAGGCCACTAACCTGTATCGTGTTTACCTTACGTCCAGACATGACGCAATATAGAAAAAGTCTAAATATCACTAACCTGTATATCGTGTTTACCTTACGTCCAGACATGACGCAATATAGGAAAAGTCTAAATATCACTAGCCTGTATAATGTTTACCGAGCGACCAGACATGACGCAATATAGGAAAAAAAGATCAGTACTCACTACAGTGAGTGACAGAGAGCGCATTTTCTCGTCCGTCTGTGACGTGAAGTCACGGACGGACTTCACGAACAGACGGACATGACGAGCACAAAAGCGCCTTTTTTCCATAAATGAGAAAATGCACTAAAAAGTTTACATATCACTAGCCTGTATAATATTTACCGGGCGTTCACGTATGATGCTTTCAAGAGTAAATATTCATCAGTAACTTGAATTATTCTAACCCGTTTCAAAGCCGTGCCGGAACTCAACCGCTGTCGGTCAAACGCTGTCGGGGCCACACAAGCCTTGAGCCGGGGCTTGGGTTGAGCTAAACCCGAGCCATGGGGTTGACCCGACCTTTCCCCGGGAAACCTGAGCCCGGGGCTTCCTTTCCTGGATATAAAAGGCGCAAGAGGAAGACTTAGTTTACATTCATCAAAGCTCATCAATGGATTTAGCCGGACAAAGCATCAATTGACTGAGGATGACTTGATTTGAAACCATTTGAACTGACGCTTCAAGTGCAGCGCGTCGGAGTTTAATTACGTAACAGGGCCACTTGGTATAGAGGTACGACCCCCGAAACTTGTGTGTACAATGTTTACAATGTTCTTGAATGTGCGCACTGAAAACGCATGACAATGTGCCTAGATGTGCTTGCTAAGCATGAATGACAACACTGTGCTCGGATTTACACAATGAACACAGATGACAACATTGTGCTCCCATGCGGACACATCGCACAAATGACAAAAAAGTACATTGTAACACAACGAGTATGGACTATAGTGGGGAGAAAGAGGGTTACAGAGTGGATCTCCCCTCATTTGGTTAGGCGGCGCGCGCGGTGATGCGGGATGCGGTTCCTTGCTTCTTGCTGGGATCTCAGGAACGCGTCCAGTCGTCTCCTGTGTGAATCCACTCTCTCTCTGCTACATCAGTAAAGCGTTTAACAATATAGCTCCCAACACGGCAAAGCGGGAACGAGAACTGAACTTCCCGCAGAGACTGAAGTCAGGAAGAGTCTCTAGTTTATGATTATGTATTTTAATCAGACTTCCTTTTCCTCGTTGGGACAAATCACACATCCGAAGGCCTCTTTTTAAAAGCTCTGAACTCGCCCAACTATAATTTTACACAAGTACAGATTAATAAGGTGGATGTAAATAAACGGTCATTTGCTTAGGGTCTAGTAAAGGCAAATTTAACATACTTGTTCCTTCTCCTTCACCCTGCGTACGGTCGCCGATACTCGTCTCTGACAGCATATAGTGGTCCGGCTCCATCATCCCGCTGAGCCTTTCGGTAAACTTACTGTCCTTACTTACATTATCTTAGTGTACTGTTTCAGCAGGAAATATTACCTACATATTAACGTAACATTGCACAATCACCGACAGTGAATATTTCTGCGTCAGATTTGTCTGCGTCAGCTCCCGCTTCGGTTGCAAACGAGGACCTCTACAATAGACGGAGTCATGAACAAAGGACAAATCCTGTGACGCTGCGGGGATTTTTTAGAAGTTCTCATGAGGATGTGGCAACAAAGTCAATGCTGATCAAAATGACTTTTCGGTGTGATATTGAGTTCTATTTCTGAAATAAATGTACAACAAACAATATGCTTCTACATATCAAAATGTTTCATCAAATTAATAGCAGTAGGTCAAGATAAATAATCAACTACACTATACTTTGGCAGCATTTTTAGTCAGTGACTCGAGCACATCATAAGAGTCGAGTCGTCAAACGACACCAAGATATAATTATAGTTACATAATTATTATTATAATTATAATTTCATAATTATTATTATAATTACAATTATCATAATTAACACGAAACGACACGATTATAAAAAACACGAACGACACCATAATTAACACGAAATGTTTTCGTGTACTCATATCATTGATAGCGTCTAAACTGTTATTCAGGGAAAGTGGTTACCCCGAAGGCTCAAGAAAAAGTTCCACGTCATTTTTTGAAAAGAAAAATCATATGAGTTTTACCCTGCTGAGCACTCCGGAGTTCCCTGCCCACAAAACGAAGGGGAAACACGTGCAGCGGCAGCACCGGTCAACGTAGGCATTGTACACACGTGGAAATCCCGCGACGCGCGCTTGTACCAGCTCAGGAAATGCAGAGTAAGCTCGAATGTCAACACATCCGTCGAGACAAAAGGTACAGAAAATCTTGATTGGGGAGAGCAGAAATGAAAGCGAGATGTATGAAAGCCATGGGATAGAAGTGCCGACACTTCTATTCTATTCTATCGGTCGCACTCTTGCATGTGTTCAACGTTCATGTACAGGGCAGCACTCATTAGAGTTGTGCAACATAAAATAAATTTAAATGGCATCTTCAGACCTCAACTGCTGCCCCAAGGAAAGTTTTCGTTTAAAATAAAATATATTTTTTTTTGCAATCACATGAGTACATTTCTTCATCAGTTGTTTCTAACTTTACTTATTTAAAAACTTATCACATTATTAGTCAAGACGACGTTTGATATTCACTATAGACACATTTAGAAATCGCACAAATGAAATACCGGAAAAATGTGCAGTCTTCTGTTACGTCATTTCACCCTCTTTTGTAGAGGTAGTGGAAAACTTCATGAAAATGAAATTATAAAAAACCTTACGGGCAAAGTTTTAGATAAAGATCACTAGAATGCCACATCGATCGTCAGCAAGGCACATAACAGTTTGAGTTTAATTCAGAAGAAAATTCAAATAGGAGTTCATTACGGACCGCAAATCAAAGCCCCACAAACGATTTAGTTGATGATGAACCAAAAAAGTTGAATTGATGAGTCAAAAGCGAATTGATGATCAGTGAGCAGTAAATTCGGTTCAATATACCAAAATGTCAATAATATTAAATGATACTAAAACTATCAATGATACCAAAACTATCAATGATACTAAATGATAGCAAAACTATCAATGATACTAAATGATAGCAAAACTATCAACGATACTAAATGATAGCTAAAC